AGATCCCACAAGCCTCACAGCACGGCCAAAAAAAAAAAAAAAAAGGTAAAAGATGAGTATTTTTCTTATAAGGGGAGAGAAAAAAAAAAAGAAAAAAAACAAAAAAAAAAAAAAAAAAGTTAGTGCTAAATATTAACAGAGCTGACTGATTTGTACATGGCAGGAGAAAGAGGAAAATACCTTAAGTTAAATAGAGAGAAGATGCTGAGCTAAGTTATAGATTGCAGAGCAAATTAAGAAAGGATGACTTCTTTGCAAATCATCCAGGCCTTATGTGTAAGTGCAGTGTCAAAATAATTCCTTGTGATGACATGGGATGTGGGAGGGATGAAATATCACAGAAAACATTGCAGCACTATTTACAATAGCCAGGACATAGAAGAAACCTAAGTGTCCATCAACAGAGGAATGGATAAAGAAGATGTGGTACGTATATGCAAAGGAATATTACTCAGCCGTAAAAAAAGATGAAATAATGCCATTTGCTGCAGCATGGATGGACGTGGAGATTGTCATCCTGAGTGAAGTAAGTCAGACAGGGAAAGACAAGTATCATATGATATCGCTTACATGTGGTATCTAAAAAAAATGGTATAAATGAACTTATTTATAAAACAGAAATAGAGTCACTGATGTAGAAAACAAATTTATGGTTACCAAGGGGGAAAAGGGGGGGGAGGGATAAATTGGGAGATTGGGACTGACATACACACTACTATATATCGAGTAGATAACTAATAAGACCTACTGTGTAGTACAGGGAACTCTACTCAATACTCTGTAATGATCTATATGGGAAAAGAATCTAAAAAAGAGTGGATACATGTATACGTTTAGCTGATTCACTTTACGGTACAGCAGAAACTAACACAACATTTTAAATCAACTATACTCCAATAAAAAATTTTAAAAATGTCACAGAAAAATATCCCAGATCTTGAAATCCCATCACAGTTGAAGCAGATGTTCTAGCTCAGAATGTCTGGCAGGATGTTGGAAAGTCTTAAGGGACCTGGGTAAACTCCTTGTGTGACCTGCTCTAGGCATTGCAGGACATCCAGTGTCTCTCCCACTAAACATCAGTAGCCCCCTCCAAACACGTGACAACCAAAACTTCCTCCGGAGGTTTTCAAGATGCCCACCTTGTGAAACCACTAAACTGGATAACCCCAACCTGCTCCCAGGACCAGCTTGCTTCAACTCTGTGGTTCTGAGATTGCCGAGGCTTCACAGATGAGGTATATTGCTAATGTTCTTTGAAGTCTGAGAGTTACTATTGCTGGACACCAAAGTCCATTGCCATGAACTGGCCAGAACATGTTAAGACACAAAGGCAACAAGAATATATGAAGAAAGGAGTGACAAACCAAGCCACAGTGATTTTCTGAGAGCAAATCACAACCTTTAAGTGAACATCAAAAACTCCCACAATTGTGCAAGTAGCTATAGTTCTGGAAGCACAGTTTGGGGTAGGCACTCCTCAAGCGCCCAGGCTCTAAGATGTGGAGCTGGTAGCAAGTCAGTCCATGGCGGTTAACAGCTCGGGCTCTGGAATGAGACAAAACTGGATTCAATCCCAGCTTTGCCACTTGTTAGCTGGGTAGCTGTAGTTAATTTACTTGGCCTCTCTTAGTTCTATAATTGGTAAAATTGGAATCAGATGCCTAATTATAGTCATTTGTAAGGATGAGATAATGCCCGCAAAAGGCCTAGCCAGAAGCAGAGCACTTAATAAACAATGTAAACGTAAGCTGTCATTAATTTATATAGTATCTGAGCTTTCTATTTTCAAACTGTCCACCAGAGGGCGCGCCAAACACTGTCCTGGAACTTGAAAAAGCTGTTGTCCAGCGTTGCTCCCAAATTCTCAGTTTATAAAACATGCTCTAAAAATCCTAAGCACTGGTATCTGAGAAAAGGGATTCAGCGACTTTCCATTCGTTTTCCCCTTCCCCGCTGAGAGGTCCTATACCTAAAGTAAAAGCACTCAACTTCGAGACTGTTCGTTTAAATGAAGTCGGATGTGTAATCTTGCAGCACTGAGGCTGCCTCTCTAAATCAGCTGCAAACAAAGGGCAGAGCTGGGGAAGCCGCCTGTCCTGGTGCAGGCAGTAAGGGACACATCGTTTGTAATTCCACACAATAATACCGACCAGAAGTCACTTCATATTTTTAGATCACCACGTGCCAGCAATTCTGGTAAAATACTCCACACACACACACACAAAATAAATAATAAATCTCTCATTGTTTGAAGTTCTAAACAACTTCCGGCAGGTATGCTTGTGTTTTATTAATACATGTGTAAGCTTCAACTTGGTACATTTCCTTATTTATCCATTAATAACTGTATCCTATCTGGAAGTTAATCCAGAGAAATCCCCGTTGTGCTGAAGTTCCTGCTCCGTGGACTCAGCTTCATGCATTTTCCTTCCAGGGTAAGTTCCATTTGATGCAGAAACATTGAGAGCTTGGGGTTTAATTCTTGAGCAGCAACTGTCTCCAACACCTGTTTAAATAGCAGGTTCAAAATGAACCATGATAACGCAGCGATTGCAAAGACAAAGGAACAGGCCTTGAGTTACTTCACTTTTGTCATTCTACATGATACAAACTTGGAGGTTTTGGTTGTGTTTAAAATTAAAAACAGTTCCAGCTATAGCATAAAAAAGTCCTGGGCATGTAAGGTACAGCATGGTGACTATAGTTAACAATACTGTTTTGTATATTTGAAAGATGTTAAGAGAGAGGATCTTAAAAGTTCTCATCACAAGAAAAAAGAATTGTAACTGTGGGTGGTGATGGTTGTTAACTAGTCTTATTGTGGTGACCATTTCTTAATATACACATATATCAATTGTTAGGTTGTACACCTAAAGCTAATACAATGTTATATTCAATTATATCTCAATAAAAAATTTTTTAAACAGTAAAATAGAGTGAGAACTGTGATATCTAATATTTTCCATTGGCAAGTGCAAATTTTGTTCATATGTGAAATATGTTCTAAACTCGAATAGCTACCGAATATTATTATATTGTTACTAAAAGTAATTTTGTTGTATATGGAAGGGGAAGTGTTAAAAACCATCCACTCCAGGTGTTAATTATGCTAGGTCCGCCTTGGTCTTAAATCCCAAAGAATTTCCTTTCCACCTCCCTTTATGGGAGGTGTCCAGCTGCTGACAGCCATTCAAGAAAGGAAGGAAGGCTTTTCTATCAGGAAACTGGATCCTGCTTTAGAGAAGCTGGGAGAGCAGTGCTGGGCTGGGAGGAGAATCTCAGAGAAGGAGAGAAGGGTGGGCAGCTCCAGCCAAGGCAGCGCGCTCCTTCCCGCCCCCCTCCCGCCCTCAGGCCAGAGGAGACCAAGGTCCAGTTACCTAATCCTGTCCGAGGTCAAGCCCATCCCCCTCCTGAGCCTTCCCTTCATTTAAGGAGGCCGTATTTGCGAGGATCTCAGAGCAACTGACAATGAGCAGCTTAGGCCTGGGGCTAGAGGGGCAGGCTCGGAGGGAAGACCCGTTGAAAGCCCGGCGGTGAGTGTGTTCTGGCCGCGACCGCGAGTGATACACGCGTCTTGTTAAATCTGCACACGTGCTTCAAAAATAAGTTATAATTTCATGCTCTGCGCTCCGTGGAACTTGGTCAGGTTTTACCCGTTGAGAGAAACTGACCACATTTCTGTCTTCTTGTTGGCATTGCTACAATGTTTCTGCCCCCTCTGGAAGCCGTGTTCCCGCCCCCGAATGAGGGGCTGTCTGGATACCACCCCTGCAGTTCGGTGGTGCGGGTCACTGGAGGCTGAGTCAACCCCGTTCCCAGATAGATTCCAGGCTAGTCACGACTATTACCGTTTATTAAGGCTGGGACTACGGTCTAACAGTTGTCTCTGCTTTATTTCTAATTCTCACAGTGATTTCAGTTTATGGGTGAGGAAACTGAAGCCCAGAGGGCAAGCAGAGTTGCTGACCCTCACCAGGTTGATGTGAACACGAGCCCCAGCAGAGGGCAAAGGGCGCAGGGGTGCCAGGTAGAAATGAGCTCTTTATTCCTCCTCCCCATTTTTTTTTTTTTTTTTTTAGTTTTTATAAATTATTTTCAATTGTGGTAAAATACACATAACATAGAATTTGCCAAGTGAGCCATTTTAACTCTTGTCATCTTGCAAAACTGAAACTCCGTACCCATTAACTAACTCCTCCTCCTTTCCTCTCCTCCTGCCCCAAATCTTATAAAGCAGGTATTGTTATTACCACCAGCTCCACTTTACAGATGAGGAAACTGGGGTCATGGGCTCTTCTGACTGGTGTGGGGTGATACCTCATTGTTGTTTTGATTTGCATTTCTCTGATAATTAGTGATGTTGAGCATCTTTTCATGTGGCTATTGGCCATCTGTATGTCTTCTTTGGAGAAATGTCTGTTTAGGTCTTCTGCCATTTTTTTGATTGGGTTGTTTGTTATTGAGTTGTATGAGCTGTTTGTATATTTTGGAAATTAAGCTCTTGTTGGTCACATCATTTGCAAATAATTTCTCCCAGTCCATAGGTTGTCTTTCTGTTTTGTTTATGGTTTCCTTTGCTGTGCAAAAGCTTATAAATTAGGTTAGGTCCCATTTGTTTATTTTTGTTTTTATTTCTATTGCCTTGGGAGACTGACCTAAGAAAACATTGTTATGATTTATGTCAGACAGTGTTTTGCCTGTGTTCTCTTCTAGGAGTTTTAAAGTGTCCTGTCTTATATTTAGGTCTTTAAGCCATTTTGAGTTTATTTTTGTATATGGCGTGAGGGAGTGTTCTAACTTCACTGATTTATATGCGGCTGTCCAACTTTCCCAACACCACTTGTTGAAAAGACTGTCTTTTCTCCATTGTATATTCTTGCCTCCTTTGTCAAAGATTAACTGACTGAGAAACTAACACACCATTGTAAAGCAATTATACTCCAATAAAGATGTTAAAAAAAAAAAGATTAACTGACTGTAGGTGTGTGGGTTTCTTTCTGGGCTCTCTATTCTGTTCCATTCATCTATATGTCTGTTTTTGTTCCAATACACTGTTTTGATTACTGTGACTTTGCAGTACTGTCTGAAGAATGGAAGGGTCATACCTCCAGCTTTGTTCTTTTTCCTCAGGATTGCTTTGGTAATTCTGTGTCTTTTGTGGTTCCATATAAATTTTAGGATTATTTATTCTAGCTCTGTGAAAAATGTCATGGGTAATTTTATAGGGATTACATTAAATCTATAGATTACTTTGGGTAGTATGGCCATTTAAACTACATTAATTCTTCCAATCTAAGAGCATGGATATCTTTCCATTACCTTGAATCATCTTCAGTTTCCTTTATTAATGTTTTATACTTCTGAGTGTATAAATCTTTCACCTCCTTGGTTAGTTTTATTCCTAGGTATTCTTTTAAATGTGATTTTAAAAGGGATTGTTTCTTTACGTTCTCTTTCTGATATTTCATTGTTAGTGTAAAGAAATGCAACTGATTTCTGTATACTAGTCTTGTATTCTGCTACCTTGCTGAATTCATCTGTCAGCTCTAATAGTTTTTGCATGGAGTTTTTAGGGTTTACTATATAGAGCATCATGTCATCTGCATATAATGACAACTTTACCTCTTTCCTTCCACTTCTGATACATTTTATTTCTTTTTCTTGTCTGATGGCTGTGGCTAGGAATTCCAATACTGTGTTGAAGAGAAATAGTGAGAGTGGGCATACTTGTCTTGTTCCAGATTTTAGCAGGAAGACTTTCAGCTTTTCACTGTCACGCATTATATTGACTATGGGTTTGTCATTAATAGCTTTTATTATTTTGAGATATGTTCCCTGTATACCCACTTTCATAAGGGTTTTTATCATGAATGGATGTTGAATTTTATCAAATGCTTTTTCTGCCTCTATTGAGATGATCATGTGGTTTCTGTCTTTTCTTTTGTTGATGTGGTGTATCACATTGATTGATTTGTGAATGTTGAACCATCCTTGTGACCTTGGAATTAGTCCAACTTGATCATGGTATATGATCCTTTTTATGTGTTGTTAGATTCTGTTTGCTGATATTTTGTTAAGGATTTTTGTATCTATATTCATCAAAGGTATTGGCCTATAATTTTCTTTTTTGCTACTATCTTTGTCTGGTTTTGGTATGAGGGTGATTGTGTCTTCATAGAATGACTTGGGGAGTGTTCCTTCTTCTTCCATCTTTTGGAAGCATTTGATAAGGATTGCTATAACTTCTTCTTTGTATGTTTGGTAGAATTCCCCAGTGAAGCCATTCAGTCCTGGACTTTAGTTTGCAGGCAGTTGTTTGTTTGTTTTTATTACACATTCTGTTTCACTTCTAGTGATTAGTCTGTTCAAATCGTCTTTTTCTTCTTGACTCAGTTTTGGTATGCTGTATGTTTCTAGAAACTTTTCCATTTCTTCTAGGTTGTCCTTTTTGTTGGCATATAACTTTATAATATTTTCTTTTCAGAATTTTATATTTCCTCAGTATCAATTGTTATTTCTCCTCTTTCGTTTCTTATTTTGTTTCGGTCTTCTCTCTTTTCTTCTTGGTGAGCCTAACTAGAGGTTTGTCAATATTGTTTATCCTCTCAAAAAAAACAGCTCTTGGTTTTATTGATTTTTTTTCTATTATTTTTAATCTCTAATTTATTTCCTGTCTGATCTTTATGATTTCCTCCCTTCTGCTGACTTTAGATTTTGTTTGTTCTTCTTTTTCTAATTCTTCTAGGTGTTAGATTAGGTTGTTTATTTGGAAGTTTTCTTGTTTTTTTAAGAAGGCCTGTACCACTATGAACTTCCCTCTTAGAACTGCTTTTGCTGCATCCTGGAAATTTTGTATGGTTGTGTTTAGTACTGTTTAAATATGACCCAGTGTGATCTACAGATACCTATCCAAAATCTCAACAGTGTTTTTTTGAAGAAATAGAAAAATCTCTCCTAAAATTTATATGGAATCTCAAGGGACTCTAGATAGCTAAAAGAATCTTAAAAAAGAAGAACAAAGCTAGAGGACTCACACTTCCTGACTTCAAAACTTACTACAAAGCCACAGTAATCAAAACAGTGTGGTACTGGTATAAAGACAGACATATAGACCAGTGAAGTAAAATAGAGAGGCAAAATAAACCATTGCATATATGGTCAAATGCCTTTTGACAAAAGTGCCAAGACCACTCAATCTTTTCAACAAATGATGTTGGGAAACTGGATATTGACATGCAAATCATGAAGTTGTACCCTTACCTTACACCATATCAAAAATAAAAAATTAATTGAAAATGAATCAAAGACCTAAACATAAGAACTAAAACTATAAAACTCTTAGAGGAAAACAGGGGGAAAACTTCATGAAATCAGATATTTCTTGGATATCATACCAAAGGCAAGAAAAGAAAAAGATATAGATAATGGGTTACATCAAAATCTAAACCTGTGCATTGAAATATACAATCAACAGAGTGAAAGGACAACCCATGGATGGGAGAAAATATTTGTAAATCGTATATCTGAGAAAAAGGTTAATAGCCATAATATATAAAGAACTCCTACAGTTCAATAACAACAACAACAACAACAAAATAATCCAATTAAAAACTGAGCAAAGGACTTGAATAGATATTTCTCCAAAGAAGACATACAAACAATCAATAAGTACATGAAAAGATGCTCAACATCACTAATCATTAGGGAAATACAAATCAAAACCACAATAAGATATCACCTCATACCTATTAGGGTGGATAATGGGTATGAGGTGATATCTCCCCCCCCCCCCCCACACAAAAAACAGGAAATAAGTGTTCACAAGGATACGGAGAAATGAGAACACTTGTGCACTGCTTGTGGGAATGTAAAATGGTGCAGCCTTTGTAGAAAACTGTATGGCAGTTCTTCAAATAATTAAATGTGGGATTACCATATGATCCAGCAATTCCATTTCTGGGTATATACCCAAAAGAATTGAATACAGGATTCAAAGACGTATTTGTACATCCATGTTTATAGCAACATTATTCACAATAGCCAAAAGGTGGAAGCAACCCAAGTGTCCATCGATGGATGAATGGATAAACAAACTGTTGTCTACTTAGACAATGGAATATTATTCAGCCTTAAAAAGAAAAGAAATTCTGACACAGGCTACAACATGGATGAACCTTGAGGACATTATGCTAAGTGACATAAGCCAATCACTTAAGGACAGATACTGTAGATTCCACTTTTATGAGGTACATAGTATAGTTAAATTAATAAAGACAGAAAGTAGAATGGTTGTCACCAGTGGCTGGAGGGGTGGGGAGACTGGGGATTTGTTTAATAGATACAGAGTTTCAATTTTTCAAGAAGTAGAGAGTTCTGGAGGTGGATGGTGTGATGGTAGACAACAGCGTGAGCATACTGAACTGTACACTTAAGATGGTTACATTTTATGTGTATTTCACAAAAAAGAAACATCCATCAGACCATGTTGCATGTCTTCTCTGAGCCCCCCATGGTTTTCTACCTCATTCAGAATAAAATCCAAATCCCTTCCCCCGGCTGAGAGGGCCCTACACTCCAGCCCCACCGGCCCAGCGCATTCTGTCTCAGGACCTCTGCACTCGCTCTTTGTTCCCTCTGCATGGAAGGCTCTTCTCCCAGATGACTGCACTGCTCGTCCCTTTATTTCACTCAGGACTCTGCACAAACATCACTTCCTTTGGCCACTAGATCTACAATGGCACATCCCACAAACCCCATATCATACTTTATTTTTCTTTATAACTTTCCTCAGTACCTGGCATTCTCCTTACCAGTCATCAATCTCTTTATTGTTTGTCTCCATCACTAGAACGTGAACTCCACAAGGCCAGGGGTTTGCCTTCTTGTTTCCGTGTTCCCACTGCCTAGAATGGTGCTGACCCACGGCTGATGATCAGTCAGTATGTCACACGGACTAGTGAAGGAAGAACAGCACACAACAGACATGTTGGTGAAACTGGTGGATGGGGTAGAGCTGGGAGTGACTGGATGGTGGAATCGGGATCCCACAAGATCTCACGAGGTTGATAGGCTGGGCTCAAGTAATAAGGTGAAGCTTGGGACTTCCCTGGTGATCCAATGGTTAAGACTCTGAGCTTCCACTGAAGGGGGCACGAGTTCAATCCCTGGTCAGAGAACTAAGATCCTGCATGCCATGCAGAGCAGCCAAAAAGAAAAAAAGTTGAAGCTTAACAGGGATACGTGTGAAAGGTTATATATACTTAGGTCAATGGCACAAATGAGCACAGGATGTGGGGAAGATGTCTTAAGAGCAGCATCATAACCTGCAAAGACTTGGAAGATGTATGTCAATGGGAAGCTGGTGATGGGATGGATGGGACCCTGCAGAAACAGCCTGTGATGGAAGGCTGCTGTGTTTTGCACAGAACATTCCATGGAGCAGTGCCATCCGTTCTGGGCCGGACAATTTAAGCAGACAGAGGTTATTCAAGAACATTCAGAGCATGTGACCAGGATGGCAACGGCATCCAAACTCACATCCTATAAGAAAAAATAGAAGGATCTGGAATGTTTAGCCATAGCTGGTAGATTTGGGAGCCAGACAGAACTGAATGAAATCCTGGTTCTGCCTTTTATTAGCTGCGGCACATGGACAAAATTCTTAACCTCCGTAATCCTTAGTTGTCTTATTGTCAAGGCCAGTGTTGTAAAGGGTAACATATAACTGCTTGATAACTACAAAGTTATCATCACAGGAACCCTTACAGTGTCGTCTAGAAAATTTGAAGAGCCATCCTTTTAAAATATATATCCGATTGTCTTCACTGCAATAGTCAATGAAAATCCTTGACATTATCTTTAATAGAGTCCAACCATCATGTCTGAATTTAGCATTTAATGCCCACTTTTTATGAATTTTTATCTGTGGGTGGGCATCCCAATTTGAGGCATTACACATGTGAGCAGAATTAAGACTAGATATAAGTGAGAGAATATCATGATAGTAGCAGCAGATGGAATATTAAGAACAGAAAAGCTCCAGACACAGAATATCGTTTGTGTCGCCTCTGTTAGGTTGTCTGTAACGTACAACAGCTCTGTTCTGGACCATCTGGGTCCAGCAACCTTGGTAGATCCTACGCTTGCACCCTGACGGAATTCACCTTGAAGAGGTTTGGTTTTAAATAACCTGAAGGTTGTGCCATTCAAGAGTCTTACCTTTGGGACACAGAGTTAACTTGCTCTCTGGTGGGTACTCACAGGTCTACTTCCTGTGCAGTTACTGCAGCACCTGAGCGTAGATTTAACGTGTCCTTCACTGGGATCTGAATGTTCTTTTTGCTGGGGGTACCTCCTGTCTCCAGTTTGTAGTTCATGGCGTGGCCCTCAGCGAGGGGTAAGGGGCCAGATAGTGGCAACTTGCTGGTGAGAGCACTGACCAGCTCAGTCTAGCTTTTACCGAAGTGGACAATGTCAGAATCTAACAGCTGAGAGGGATCATCAAAACTGGGACACTGTGGGGAGTAAAATGAGGGGTTGGTATGAATAGTTACACTGGGACAATGTATTAGACAGGGTTCTCCAGAAAAAAAAAATCAATAGGAATTATATACCTATATCTATCTATCTATAAATTGGCTTATATTATTATGGAGGTTGAGAAGTCCCAAACTTGCAGTCATGAAGCTGTGGGGACCCAGGATTGGTGGAAATGTACTTTCAGTTCGAATCCAAAGGCCTGAGAACCAGGAGAGCAGACAGTGTAAGTTCCAGTCTGAAGGCAGAAGAAGACCGATGTCCAGCCAAAACAGTCAGAGAGAGACACAGACAAATAGAGAGAGAGAGTGGGGGAGAACTGTGTCTTATTCACCTTTTTGTTGTGTTGAGGCCTTCAACTGATTGGATGAGATCCACCCACTTTAGAAAGGGCAGTCTGCTTTACTCAGTCTATAGACTCAAATGCTAATCTCATCCAGAAACACCGTCATAAACACACCAAAATAATGTTTAACTGAATATCTGGGCATCTTGTGGCCCAGTCAAGCTGACATATAAAATTAACCATTACAGGCAACAAGCATAAACTGGGGCTGTCCTGGGAAAACAAGGATGTATGGTTACCCCGAGTGGAGTCCTCTAAAGAGGATATAATCCTAAAATGCAGAGGCCGTGCAGGAGCTATTTCATAAGGATTCAGTATTTTTCTCGTGCAGAGGAATGAATTCTCCTGATCATGAAAGACGAAAGACCCGAGACATGTCAGCTTCACAAACTAGATTAGCCAATTTGGTTTTGACAGTTCTATCAATCCGGATCACTGTTTCCAAGTTTGGAAATGTGGATATAGATATGGATAGTAAAATTGTTCAGTGGCCCCAGTAGCTTGCCTGACAGCTGAAAAGAACTTGTTCCATAAAGAGAGCCGTGTCTGTGGGATGCACTGAAGGTATTCTCCAGGCTGGAATGAACGACATACTGTACTGATGTCTTTGAAACAGGGTAAAGGGGTGCTCTGCGACAAGGAAGTGCCTTCACCCAGTGAAAATAACACCCTCTTGGAAGGACATATTCCGTAAGTACAGGGGACCCGATTCACATGGCCCTAAGCAGTGCTGTTTGATGTCTTTGCCACACCTTTATAGATATTCTAGGGTTATGCTGGTTGCAGGTGAGACAACTATGTATATAAATGAAGATTTGGTACAATTTCCACACCAGTTTGTTTGTACCCAGGTGTTAATTCTCGCCTTTCCAGCCTGTGTATGTGCCCAGAGGGATATGTGTACTAATTGTCTAGGCGCCACCTAGTGGCCATTTTGGGAAAAATCAAAGATGGTGGGAATTCCAAAAAAACTCGACAGGTTCTCAATTTGGGGCTAAATCTTGGAAAGAGCAATTAAAACTAAACTAAAAAGTAGAGGAAGGGAGTTTTTAGGGCAACGAAACTATTCTGTATTATACAATAATGATGGACATATGTCATATGTTGTGTTGTACCCATAGACGGTACAACACAAAGAGTGACCTCTAATGTAAACTGTGGACTTTATTTTTAAAATAAATTTATTTATTTTTATTTATTTATTATTTTTTGCTGCACTGGGTCTTCGTTGCTGTGCGCGGGCTTTCTCTAGTTGCGGCGAGCGGGGGCTACTCTTTGTTGCGGAGTGCAGGCTCCTCTTTTTGCAGAGCACAGGCTTTAGGCGCACAGGCTTCAGTAGTTGTGGCACGTGCGCTCAGTAGTTGTGGCTCGCAGCCTTAGTTGCTCTGCGGCATGTAGGATCTTCCCGGACCTGTGTCCCCTGCGTTGTCAGGCAGATTCTTAACCACTGTACCACCAGGGGGAGCCCTAGCCTAATAGACGTCTGAAGGTAATATTACCACCACCATTAGGAATTTGCATAAAGTGGGGAGTATCCAAGAGCTGAATTCGAGTCTGTACAAACTTTAGCAGACCTTTCAAGAAGCCCGAGCACACCCCAGGGTATGCGGTAGGCATAGCGCACAGTGCATCACGTGTCACCGCGGGGCACAGGAGCCAGCGCGCGGCTGGGAGCGCGCAGTCCTCGGCTGGATCAGCCGCGTGCCGCTAACTCATTCATTGTGACGAAGTGGGTACCGTGCTCCGGGTGGACGCCACGCTCCCCTGAGAGGCCCCAGGGCTAGACCAGTACAGGTGCTGCGCCACTGCCACTGCAGCGGCAGGGACCCCTCCCTGCAGGCTCTGAGGGGCCATCACATCTTACTCCCCAGGGTTTCTCCATGCCTTGCTCCTAATGGCCTTGTACCCAAACAATGTTTAAAGGCCAACATTATTTAACCCTTTGAAACTCTAATTTTATCCACATAATCCATCTTACCTAGCATATTATTAGGCAATGTTTATAATCGATTTTTACTATCTTCATGAGTGTCACAAAGATATATGTGTTTATATGACAAGAATACATAAGCCAAAACCACATGAGCATGTACTTTACTTTCTCTTTACTTATAAATTTAAAATTCTTTCTTTGGAAAATTTCCAGATACGCAGCGATTACTCCCCAATTTCCTCAGTTGGCACTTAAAGGTCTCAGGTCAATTAGGGATCTTAGGAAATGTATTTTAGTTGACATTTAAAAAATATAATCACTGTTATTATTAAAAATTTGTCAGAGAAATACAACACTTGAAAACTTATCCAGGCAGACAGAAATGGAGTGATTCCATAGGTTCACATAATTTGCAGGGTTTTACATGAAGCCATTAGTTGTTGTAACTGTCATTAAATACTCATGCTTATATTTACAGTCTTAAATATTTCATGTAAGAAATGATAACCTGATAACTGTAAGGAATTTAGGATATTCTATTTAGTTAAGCTTGTGGTAGGATAATAATTTCAAAGTCTTGCATAGACTGTTATCTTTAAATTAAATTGCACACTGTGATAAAATCAGAGAGAAGATGTATAACTTTTTTTTTTTTTTTTTTTTTTTTTTGTACGGGGGCCTCTCACTGTTGCGGCCTCTCCCGTTGCAGAGCACAGGCTCCAGACGCGCAGGCTCAGCGGCCATGGCTCACGGGCCCAGCCGCTCCGCGGCATGTGGGATCTTCCCAGACCGGGGCACGAACCCGTATCCCCTGCATCGGCAGGCGGACTCTCAACCACCGCGCCACCAGGGAAATCCAGGTGTATAACTTTTTAAAATGAAAATTCATAATTGATTAGGAGTACTAAGTGAACTTGAAATGTAGATTTTTATATCATTTTCTTGTACTTATTTTTACTAAGTAATGTTAAAACTCTTATTTTACTTAAAATGTGAACACAGAAAGGAGTTTGTGGAATCATTATCTGATGAGTAGTTGTTGACCAAATGCTAATTTGCATTTATTTATTCCTTGTAATTTATCAACAGGAACTGCTATGTTATTAAACTAATCTGGCATTTTTCCTTTTCTGATCCAAACACTTTTTAGAGAGAAATGGTTTAGTATTAGAAAACAGGAATTTTTTTTTTTTTTTCCCACGGTACGCGGGCCTCTCACTGCTGTGGCCTCTTCCGGACCGGGGCAGGAACCCGTATTCCCTTCATCGACAGGCGGACTCTCAACCACTGCGCCACCACGGAAGCCGACAGGAATATTTTTTTACACTTTTATTAATGACTTATTTAGACATTATTTTTAAATTTTTAAAAATTTTTACTAGTTAGGGTAATATATACCTTTTTAAAAACCATGTTAACGATTTTTAAGTGTACAGCTATAGATGTTAAGTATATTCACATTGCTTTGAAAAAATATACCTTTTGATCCATCTTTTAATAACTATGTTAACTTTTTAAGTCTTCTTATTGGAGATTTCCCTTTCCAAAAAGGAAACTATTGGATGCTTCAGTTTCTAGAAGACCGATTTCTTTAAACTGTTTGAAATACACATATAGGTGGTTACAGTACATAATTTGCAGCTTGACTCTCTCCCGGAAATTGGACATTTTATTTTTCATGGCTGAAGAGCCTTTCTTAAAGGGCCAGCATGTTTAAAGCGTTAGGTGTTTTGACATAATTTCTTCAACGTTTTTGCTCTTTGGGGAGTCTTTGTGAGTCTTTATCTTGTTTATTTATGTTCTTTGTAACTCCCAGAAACCACCAAAATAGGAGCTGTATTGAATTTGAAAGACTTTCCCGCTGCACTTGCTAATGCTCTGGGGAGACAGGCTATCCAGGAGATTCCCACGTGCATTTCTGAACAATTCTGGGAGCTGTAGTAGGGGTGTAATTTGGAATTTGTTCACACATCTGGTACAGCATGGATTGACTAGTATTGTAGGTTTTATAAATTTAATACAAACTTTTTTTTTAATTTAAGGGCTCTTAATTAGATTTAAAAAATAGCTCCCAACTCTGCTCATGACCAAGGCTTATAGATTACAACTTGTTCTTTCACTAAAGGTGGGCTTCCAACGGGTATGTGTTAGTTGACAGCAGAGACCCATCTGTGTAAGCAATTTTTGAGAAAGGGTGTTGTTGGATCAGAGCCTGATTTCCTGTCACAGTTATAGAGGTTGGTGAGGGACATTTCCTTTGTGTGGTATCTTAGTCCATTCGGGCTGCTATAACAAGGTACCACAGACTGGGTGGCTTATAAACAACAGACACTTACTGCACATATTTCTGCAAGCTGGAAGTCCAAGATCAGGGTGGCAACCTGGTCAGGTGAGGGCCCTCCTTCTGGTTCATGGCCAGTGCCTTTTTGCTGTGACCTCATGTGGTGGAAGAAACTTGGGTGTTCTCTGGGGTCTCTTTTATAAGAGCACTAATCCCATTCTTGAAAGCTTCACCCTCAGGACCTAATCACCTTCCAAAGACCCACCTTCTCATACCATCACACTGGGCGTTAGAACACAACATGGGAATTTGGGTGACACATTCAGTCCATAGCAGGAGGCATGGTAAGGGGGACGGGAGTAGCTCTAGGCGGAACAGTAGTTCCTGATGTGACTTAAGGCACCTTCTGGACTTTGGGCATTTTCACACCTTTAAATTCAAATGCCTCTTGGAATTCAATTACTTTGGTCTTATGAAGTTATCCCTATGAAGGCCATGGCCTTCTGTATGGGCTAACTGGTACACTGGTTGCATTTTTCTGATTAGTTGTAAGAATCTTTCGCATAATGTATGATCATGTAAAAATCAGGAGTTTCTTTGGTGAGAGATTTGTTTCCTTAGAAGAGAACAACCCATCGTGCCAACATATACAGATTTGAAAATTCGGTTCCTTAGTCTCTCTAGACACATTTCAGTTGCTCAGTAGTCATGTGTGGTTAGTGGAGAGCACAGAATATTTCCATCATCTCTGAAATTTCTACTGGACATGGAGGTTTAGACCATATTCTCTGAAACATGGCTTAATGCAGATTAAGCATTAACCCTACATTAATTTGCTTCTCTGCCCTTACCAGAAGCTTTTCTCTCTCTCTCCCTCTCCTCATAACAGTTTTGTTGAGATATAATTCACATGCCACACAAATCACTCATTTAAACTGTACGGTTCGCTGGGTTTTAGTATATTCACAGAGCTGTGCTACCATCACCATGATCGATTTTAGAACATTTTTACCACCTCAGAAAAGAAATTCCACATCCTTTAGCGATCGCCTCCAAGTCCTCCTATACCCCTGGCTCTAAGCAACCACCAAAATTATTTCCTGTCTCTATAGGTTTCTCTATTCTGGACTTTTTGTTACCGAATCGGGTCCCGCTGCTTGCCGCTTACAAAATCAATACTCACAGATGTTGGTAGAAAGAAAGGTGCTTTTAATGAGAATGCTGGCAATCTGGGGAGATGGTGGACTCAACACCCCCCCAAACCACCTCTCAAGATTCTGCTCAGCCATGAAAGCTTTTAAAGGGAAATAGGGAAGTAATATCAGTTAATCATTGACATAGGGGGTCAGAGTCCTCTTCATACCCCGCTGTGTGCAGGCTTCAGTGCAGGCTTGTCGATTCCTCATGATATTTCTTTAGATGCTGTCTTGTTCACACAGTTTCCCTGCGAGATTACTGAATGGGAAGCTAGAGAAGAGATCTGGTCATCTGTTACATACTTATTCTTCATTTCTACTTCTTTGATCTACG